ATTCCGAAATAATTACTTAATTAAATTAAAAGTGCCAATAAAACACATGATATTTAAAATCAGGCAAACAAAGTTTAGAGCAAGTAGTAAACAAATTACTAACAAAAAGTACTTGAAATAAAAACAGAGGGACTGTGTAAATATCAGAATAAAATATATTTATTTTTAATACATTAATGTTATGTTATTTAATTTAATGCATGCAAAATGTAAGCTTAATTTTGAGTTTTAGTTTGACAAGTTGAAGAGTATTGCTGCTTCATATCGTGTTGGGCAGTTTCATTCATAACAATCCTATTTAATAAACTCTTCATATGTTTTTTGTAAAGCACTTTGAATTCCCTTGTGTTGAAATGTGCTATATAAATAAACTTGCCTTGTAAAAGTTAAACCAAAAATGGTAACTTAATTTTTTCTGTGAAATTAATGTAGTCAGTCATACAAAATATGTATGATATATAGTGAGTCAAGCTATACACTTTAACAAAATGTAAATAAAAACCCAAATAAAATACTTGAGTTAATGTTTAGTGTGAATATAGTTATTGGAATATTCATATAATCATCCCTAATGTCTGCGGCATGCATGTGTTTTCACGGGGCGGGACGACACGCTGGCCCCAGAGCAGCTGGGTTCTGCAGGTTTCACTGTTTTTAAGAACTGCATGAATAATTATCCAGGTGTAGCTGCCAAGTCAGAGGAGACGAGTCAAACTCTGCCTGGTTACAGACTTCAGCCAACGAGGAGAAAAACATGCCGAAACCTCCACCAAATCCCCTGCTCTCTATTCTCTATTTTCTCTCTCACTTGCTCCCCTCACTTTTCCCCCCTCTGTTTCCATCTCGCCTTTTCTCTCTCTGCACTGTCTGCATCTCTTGCTTTGTCTTCCACTCTGTCTGAAAAAAAATGCTTTCTTTCTCCCGTTTCTCTCCATTTCTTTTTCTTTTTCATGCCTGTTTATTCTTGGATGACAGGAATACATGAGGCAAAAATAAGCTGTATTAAGAGCGGAAATGTTTAAATAGGATTGGAACCATTACAAACTTTCACATAGGAGTCAAATTATGAGAATCTGTCAATTATGAGAAAACAAACACTGGCACTGTGGCATGGCACATTCTGGAGGTGCGACTAATTACCCAGAGGTTTTTTTTTTCAGTTTCAATTCAGGGATTTGGAGGATATTTTTCTTTTGGCAAATGTCTGCTAAACGGTGGAATTTATTTTCTCTGCGGTGCTTTTGCTACAGATGGATTAACAACGTTACACTTCGCTTTCATCCAGACATCTGCTAAATTTTCTTTTTCTTTTCAACCTAGCTACACTCTCAGCCAATGAAAACTCACACTAGTTGGCCTGATTTCTCATTGGTTATCCACATCAATGAAACGGTTACTATTGGTTGTAGTAGAAATACTACTATAGCAGACATAAGCACTTTTAAAGATTTTGAGAACAAATACTACTTTTGATGTCAGGGCTTTTAAAATGTACTCCAGGCTCAAAAACCATGAATACAGAATGGAAATAAGTGTGTATGTGTGTATATATATTTTTGTGTGTGTGCAAGAGAAATTGTGTGTACGTGTCTGCTGTTGATTGAGCATTGTTGACAGTTTGAATGAATGTCTTTTGCTATGAATATAAGAGGTAGCAATCCTTTAGTCTACACCCAGGTCTGATTTTTATCACACGCACGCACACACACACACGCACACACACACGCACGCACACGCACAAAGTCACAGACCTACACACATATAGCAGCCTATTTCTGCATGAATAATTTAGCACTTTGATCCAACACTGGCCACAGGGGCAAATGACAGTTAGTGTGTGCTTTTTAATGTCCACTTTTCAGCATCTGCTAGTATGCGTGCATTTCTTTGTTGATTCATAGTTAGTTTTTTTTTAACTTTCATTAAAAACTGCTGTTTATCATGTCAGTTTAGCTGTCCCTGATTATCATTGCTGCTTTCTTGACCCGTCTTTGCACACACAAACAGTTTAATGTGTGTTTCATTAGTAAATATGTGCATATATGCCTCAAACAAAATCTGTTTCATGTTTATTTCCTGCCAAAGCAGACCTTTTATCCCAAGAGGTGTGGATCTAATTTTGTGTGGGGCCACTATAGACAAAGGTAAAGGTTTGTCTTTTTTATTACATTAATCTCAGCTCAGCTCAGTGCAGGATCAGACACTCGCTGTTGTTTGTTTGCAGTCAGTGTTTGAGTCACTGTGCTTTTATTCTCAGTATGTGGGGAAGAGTGAAGAGTGTTTACATATGTGCTTACTTCACCCAGAGGGCCTAGGTCCTCATGCATTCCCCCCATGTGTTTTCATGCTGCTAGGTATATGTCATACCTATGGAGCGCACAATTGTGCTCAGTGACCAACTGTAAGCTTGTTTTCTCTTTAGCCTTGGCCCTGACATTTACCTCACTGCTTCCCTTGCGACTGGCCTGAATATCATACCTCGATTATCTTGCATCCCTGGTGTGCGTGTGTATGCATGCACCTGTGCCTTTAAAGACTTTCGAGCATGTATCAGAGAAAGTACACCTGTGCTGTGACTTGAAAAGCCTTTGGTAGTTTCAGCGAGCAGGAGCGCTTGTTGAACAGTGTGCCTATGTGGATTTCTAAGAGTGTGTCAGGAAGTAGAGATTTTGACTGGAGGATTAATCTAAACCCCCTCTTATAAAGTATTCAGATCGGAACGAGGGATTATTGAAAGTCGGAGAGATGATGGAAAGTGAATGTTCATATTGGTTCATAACACCAGGCACGCAGGCACATAATATTAAACAGTAACAGCAATGTTGTATCATTTATCTGCCATGTTAGGTTTCATTACATGTGGCAGTATACAAGTTTACTCAGTGTTCAACCTGATTTTCTTTCCACATTCCTTGAGGATACATCAAAACCGTCCATGTAATTCAGCAGGCGTGTATACCATGCATGCCTCCATCAAATATTTATTCTCATTTGGTGCACTGCTTATAGTAACAAATCATTTTCTGATATTTTTCTAGATTTTTTGAGTTTCATTTATAAATCTTGGGAGTTTGACTGCTCAATTTCATTGGTCCATTTAAGATTAAATTGCATTTTTTTCCTTTTCCATGGCATACATATATACGGAGCCCTTAAAGGGACATGGAAAAAAAAATAAAAAGAGAGAGAAAAAAAAAAGTCGGGATAACGGGTTAGTATCTCGTGCGACAACCATTTCATTGCAGACTGTTATGTTTATGTGGGGAAATGACAGTGCATACATTATTTGAGATAAGGACATTTCGGCCAGGGGTGTAGAGCTATTTGTTTAAGCACCGGATTGGCAAAACAGGAGAGTCTGTAAACCAGTCTGCTTTGATCTATGAATTAATGTCCGTGACTCTCAGAGTATCTGCTGCCCGCAGCTGTTTTATAGGGAAACAAACACTCAGAACACATACACACAGAGCCAGTGGCTCTCCGTTTCCCCGCAGCGAGGCTCCCCCCCGTTGACAGTTCACTAGCCCCCCGTTGACAGTTTACGTGGGCTGGGCTGGGTGAGATTCACGGGCTGATTTTTTGTCCCAGTCCGCCCCTGCACAGAGCGGAGCTGAGCAGAGCACACACACGCACATCATGCGCCTTGGTGACCGGACATCTCCTTCATAAAACTAATAAAAGGGGGAGTAATCAGGCAGTTCGATGTGTGTAGAGGTGTATGTGTGTAGAGGTGTGTGTGTGTAGAGGTGTGTGTGTGTGTAGAGGTGTATGTGGTTAAAACGTAGCAGCCTGCGGTCACTCTTTAGCTGTTCGAATGAAGGTAAACACAGTGTAGGCGGTGCGTAAAAGCTCTTCGAGCGCTGGTGCTGCTCTTCTCTGAGTTACACGTGCCGCTGCCTCCTGGAGTGACCGCAGGCTGCTACGTTTTAACCACACACCCCTGGCCGAAATGTCCTTAAAATGAAGTCTGAGTACGAAATATATCTCAAATAATGTATGCTCTGTCATTTTCCCCACATAACCATAACAGTCTGCAAATAAATGGTTGTCTCCTGTGCGCTCCACTTCCTCCTTGGCGCACCGGTAACTTTCTAAAAAAAAACAAAAAAAAGTCGGGATAACGGGTTAGTTTCTCGTGCGCACGAGAAACTAACCCGTTATCCCGATTTTTTTTTTTCTCTCTTTTTTTTTTTCCATGTCCCTTTGGGGCACATGTGTAAAACTCGAGGCCCGGGGTGGATTTAATTTCGGCCCGCAGGATAATTTTTAATTACTATTTGATCTGGCCCGCCAGTATATTGCACGCACACCTTCACTCAATCCTAAGGATTTCCTCAGCTCAGAGCCTGACCCCAAACATTGATGACCTTGCACCCAAGATGAGATGCCAAGTATCTGGCTTGAGCATCACAGAGCAGCACACTGAGTTTCAATGGATGTTTCCTTCTGCACTTCTTTTCTTGCGACAACAGGGCATGTCTGGTTTTTTCTTTGAGAGAAATAGTTTTTTTGAAGCTGTTGTTGGCCTGTGGAAAAATGTAATCATAAGAAATGACTCCGGAAAAGCTGCAGATAGAGCCATAAGAAATGAATGCAACTGATTATTTAATGTTTAATGTTGTTTTTATAGGCAATAATTTAAGCTGTGTTAGTTCCAGGTTTAATATGTGCAATAAGTTAATTTCAATAAGTTCTGCAATAAACATTGAAGCAGTCCGGACCTCGACTAGTACCGATTTCTTTATTTTGGCCCACTGTGTATTTGAGTTTGACACCCCTGCTTTAGGGGCTCCGTACATATATATATATTTTTTCTTTAAAGAAAGAAATAACAGGTTTCTTTTTAATGTTTAAATGTAGACGGCTCTTCTTTAAATATTACAATTTTTTTAACCCAGCACTTAAAAAAGATGTTGACAATATTTTGACCACAAAATGGAAGTCATCTAGTTATTGGATGATTAAATAATTCAAATATGTGTGTGTGTTTCCTCTTGTAGCTACGGAACCTGAATGTCCTGGACCTGCGGCACATCTCAGAGCTCAACAATGAGACGGTGATGGAGGTGGTGAGGAAATGTCGCAACCTCAGTTCCCTCAACCTCTGCCTCAACTGGAGCATCAACGACAGGTATGTCAAGTGCATAAGTCTGTCAAGTATATAAGTACCACACTCGATATCGATCAATGCGTTTTTTGGCCCGCCAAGGAACAGATACAGTCGTTCTGTCTAACGAAAATAAAAAAGTTAAAAGTCATTGCATTTGGAAAATGTAACTGTAAATGTAAGAAACCTTGGAAGAGGCAATTCAACTAAAAAAACCTCCAAGTGACTGCCAGGTCTGTAATAGGAGCCTTAGTTAAAAAATAAACTACAAAATAAATCAAGTTTTATAATAAATCCAATACTAATGCTTTTGCCAAGACTTAAAGTAAATCAAATGTATGAAGGCCACTTGATCATTTGACTAATGGCTCTTTAGGGTCCAAGTTGGCACAGACATCTTTCATTGATTGGCCATTTTTCATGATGTTTTTATGCGTTGCTGTAATTGATGATTGAAAAGTTAAAGTTTCTTCTCCGCTTCACAATAATATTCACAAATATGCCTTTGTTTTTAGTAAACACTCGTTTTTGAGATCCTTCTGCAATAATGCACATGTTTTCAGACTATTTGACTCTTGAACACTTGGTGTCAGCAACATTGACAAAGGCAGGGAAGAAGGCTGTTATCTGATCTAAACATGGAAGGAAGCTATGGTGGTTAAAAAAGATTTGCAAATGTGTTATGAGAAGGAAAATACATTCATCATTGCTAGGCTTCAAGGAGGATTGTTTTGGTGAAAAACAAAGAATATAACCACGACTGTTTGTTCTCAAGGAAAACTCCACAGGGTACTTTTAATCTAAGCAGGACCAATTGAAAAACAGTTTGAATGAGTTTTCAATTAAATCAACTAATCTATTAGTCAATTAAGGATTTTAATAGCTCTACTCACGGACACTCTCACAAACAACATTTAGAGCTCATTATTTATATGCTTCATAATCAAACTCTTGTATAGTAATTTCATTTGCAGGACACATGCTGCTATATTGTGCATACATTCAAAAACACATTATACATAATGTAATAAATGGATACAAGCCTCATGCAGGCATTTCAACTATTGCACAGGGAAGGATGTCCGTGTGAATATTGAACACAAGTTGAAAAGACAACCAAGAACTTTTTTCTTTTCTCGCCCCCTTTCTCTCTGCAACGGTAAAGAACCTGTGCAGAATATGATGGCAAGAGCAAAGCATCTCCTCTTTTATTTATTATCTTGTGTTTTATTCATACATTTGCATTTAATCTATTGATTTACAGTTTAGGCTGTGGCTTCTCTGCCGACTGTACTCCCACTCTGGCTTAGGAGTGTGAACACAATATTGAATTTACCATGGCGCATAGCAACAAAGGGTGTGTGTGTGTGTGTGTCTGTGTGTCTCTGTGTGTGCATGTGTGACATTTTTCTTGCATTATTGAGTAAACAGCAGACATGTGGTGGGAAGGTTATGGTAATACCTTACCACAGCCTTCTTTCAATCAAAAAACATGGAGTTTGGTGAAATCCCCAAAGCACATGGCGTTATCAACCTCTTCCCTTTATCACACACACACACACACACACACACACACACACACACACACACACACACACACACACACACACACACACACACACACACACACACACACACACACACACACACACACACACACACACACACACACACACACACACACACACACACACACACACACACACACATCCTTTTCATTGATGCCATAATGATATTTACTGCATTGGTTCAGGAGCTGAAGGTGTATGTGTGTCTGACTGGATTTGTCTGGATCACCTGTGGGAATATTGGAATTGAAAATGCTGTGTGTGTGAGATAAAGCTAGGGTGTTGTGTGTTTTTTGCAGCATGCAGTTGCTGTGTTGTTGGCTTGTGTATTAAGCAGAGGCTGCAGGGGAGTAAAAGGCCGAGGCGGACAGTCTTACATGCTTGCTGCTCTGATGCTACCCCACCCCAAAGGAGTATTTTTTATTTTCTTTAAAGATCCATCAAAAGTAGCGGAGGGCCATTTCCATTGCCCTTCCTCCTGGACCTGCAGACCTGTGTGTTTGCGTGTATTGTGTACTTGCTTCTCAAGGAGCAAATAAAAGCCTCCAGTCCGGTCATAAGCCGCTTTATTGTTACACTTTACAGTCACACAGTTCGGCGCAGTGAGGAGGAGAGGTTGTTTATTTAAGGGAAGAAACTGGCTGGGTGGTCGTCACAAAGTGAGCGAATGAGGTGTGTGTGTGTTTCCATGGGTCCAGACCTGTGTGCTTGCCAAACTGTGATAATGTGTTTCCACTACAAACTACAGCCTTAGAGCATGTGTCAAGATACCAGAATTATGACTTAATTTGTTTTTGTAATAAATAAAACAAAGGCATGGGAGGAGTTAAAAATAAGCTCTAAAACAACAGGCATTAATTATTGTACCATACTGTGTTCAAACATTTAATATTCAACCAGGACAGGAGAAACTCTTAATTAAGATCAGCTCTTTAAAAGTTCACATCTCCCCAGTCTCTGCGGATGCAGGTTGTGGCTCTTCACGGCATGGTTAACTAACCTCATTGTGTTTGAGAGAGATTTTGTTTGACGGGGTAAGATTTTAAGATGGTTGGATTGTACACACTTGGATTTTCAATTTAGTTTTTCTGTCAACCTCTTTTTTTTACATATATTTTGTACTCAAACTAGGACCATGATTCGATGAGTCCGAGTCACTGAGTGATTCTAAATAAGAATTGATAAAATCTGAAAAACAGTTTTTTTATTATGTCAACACTCAAGTACCTCATCTGATATTGGTTTGAAAAGTAATATTTTATATATCATTGTTTTCTACAGACAGTGTATCTCCGCAGAGACGCTAAATTGTTTTATTTGGCTTAAAGTTCAAAGATTCAAAGGTCATCAGGGTCACTGCTGTTGGGAAAGCTAACACACACCCACACTTGTTGTCACAGTGAAGACCAGAATGACTAACATTAACTCAGCGAGGGCACAGCTGGGTCAGCTTTGGTGAGCGTGTTTCAAAGTGATGACCGTGTGCTGTGAGCAGGTAAACAGGCGGAGGAAATGACCCCTTATTTCCAGGATCAATTTGTCCCCCCACAAGGTGCAATTTGAGAGATAGAGCTCCTTGGGAGGTAAAGCACTTCAGTCATTTTTTCGTCCCTTCTTCTTCTTATTTTCTTCTGCTCTCCTCTTATCTTATCTGTAATATAAAATAAAATAATAAACCCCGTGTCCTCTGGCTCCCCTTATCTTCCTCAGTAATGGCCAAAAACAGCGTCCCAGTGTAAGAAAAGCTGGTATGTCGACCAAATATGGGCTCCCATCGTCACAGTCTGACAGGCAGATTGTGACAGTAGGACGCCAATTTTGAGTTCACCCTCATTTCTTGTGGAGACAGGATGTGATGTGCTGCAGGTGGCCACTGTTAGCCCTGTTATTTTTCTGTATTCCCTTTCAGCAATGATCGCAGACCAATGTGTGATTGTGTTTTTCAAAAAAATGAAAATGGGGAGCGTGTCGTGATCAAAGTGGAACAGCAGCGCAAATGATGGCGCTCACTTTTGAGAACCAAGTTGAAAACACAGTGTCAAAGTGAAATGGTTATCTTTCATTTTCTGTTGCTTGGTGTCCTTTTTTATCTATTGCAGAAACATGGTCTTGCTTTTATATTGTGCCCATGGTGTAGTTGTTATTCTGTGTTTGTTCTGTTGTGTCTGTGCATAGAGATTCTTTTATATCTAGAGTTATTTGCCCAGTGGAGACTGTTGACTTAATAGTATCATTTTTCATTTGTCTAATACGTTTTTATTATATTGTACATTATTTGCCAGAAATAAGGAGATTAAACATGGATTTTATGTGAATTTTATCCTTCTGTTTGTATGTGTGTGAGTGTGCTGCAATAAAGTTTGCGGCAACGCCTCTTCAGTGGTTTTGGTCAAAGTCAGCATCTATTCTGCTAACATTAACCCTGCTGCGGGTCACACAGCCTGTGTTGACATGCAGATTGATGTGTTCCCCTCCGTCTATGTCTGTGTATGTATGTGTTTGTGAGTAAGCTCTGGTCAGTCGGCCAGTAGTCTACACTGAAAGCAGATGCATGGAATAAGTGAGTCATTTCTTTTGAGTTACGTTTTGTTGGAAGCTTTTCCCAAAACCCTGGTATTCCCCTCTCTTTCTCTCTCTCTTTTCTTCTTCTCTTAGTCTTTCCAGCAGCTTAATTTAATTCGGGGAATCAATATTCATACCCTTTTTTCTTCGGGCCAACATTCTCTGCATATCCATCACACATGAGCATCACAAATCACAGCCCAAATTGTCTGTCCTACATTTTGTCCCCTCTCACACAGTCATCGGACTACGTGAGGGATGACCGGGGGCCCTCTCTGACTTTCAGGAGCTTATAATGTGGGAAATAATTGGAGAAGCATTCTCTCAGAATCACACCTTCTCTAAAACTGTGAGGTGTGTGTATTTGGAGGCGTTTGCATTGGAAGCTTATTCCAAATAGACTCTGTCGCAGCCAGCTGGCAGATCCCACAGTGCCTGGAGAAGTGTTAAACCCTGAAATCGTATAAGTAAATGAACACATAATAATGATGAACGACATGTCAATTGACAGTTGGTTGCTTGGCCACAGTGAAGAAGATGATCAGGACCTGTATGTGTCAAGTTTCTGAGAGTCTGAAGAGCGAGTAAGAGGGAGAAGAGTTAAAAGACTGAGGAACATTTACCAAGTGATTTTCTCCTACTCAAAGCAAAGTCAAGGAGTTACACTTCAAGATCAAATCATCAAATGTATGCTCACCAAGGTATGACCAATCAGGCAAAAAATATTCTATTAAAGGAGCATTACACCTTTACATTCAGATATTCTATAAAGCCCAAATGATTTAACCATTTTATTTAGTTTCATTTGTGTGAAATCTGTTACATTTCCATTAACAATTAATGCATAAAAACTAAAAGATAGGCTACTGTAGCAAACTCCCTACCGGTTAATGT